TTTGATGATCACGGATATCAGATAGTACTTGAATTTTATTTATTTTCCTACATTTCCAAATTACTTAAAATTTTAGGTGTATGTTCTTCTCTTCAAGGCTCACCTAATAAAAATATAAAAAAAAATATTCACAAAAAAAATGATCAAAATACCTCCCGAAATATTTTTGGGGTATTTTGGTCAATATTTTTCATGTAAAATATTTTTTGATATTTTTCGAAGATTCACCTATTTTTTATGAACACATATCTAAAATTTCAAATGATTTGGATTTTTAAAAAAAAGAAACTAAAATTCAAACTCTACCAGACATCTGTAACCGTCAGATCGATCCAGATTCAATGTATGTCATTAGGCTCATATGTTCATATGAGCTGGTGAGATAACCCTAGCTTTTTATATATAGTAATCATCCCTTTCTCTCTCCTCTATCTCTTGCATTCATCTCGACAAAATGTTATAACAACAATAAAAATGAAATTTAGACATTACACGCTTTGTTGCTTCACCATAAAATACTTCTTTGACTAATATATCATGTCAAATTTTGGGTGCTATTAGTAATAATATTGCAAACTCGGTAATTTTGAAATGTCGCCTCACTATTGAAAATGGTTAATTTTTTGAAATAATAACATTAATAAAGATGGCTGAGATGGCTTGAGTCACAATGTCACAAGTTAGCTTTTATCCGTTGGCTCTTGATCAGACGGCTCGTAGTTTTTTGTTTTCAATTTTATTCTACAAATGATTTTGAAGCAAACTTTGGGGCATGCATAGATCTATCAGGGGCGCACATGATAATAATAATAATAATAATAATAATAATAATAATAATAATAATAATAATAATAATAATAATAATAATAATAATAATATAATAATAATAATAATAATAATAATAATAATAATAATCATAATAATAATAATAATAATATTTTTTGTGATGAAAAAATTATCAGAATACCTCGAAATTTATAGGGGTATTTTGGTCATTTATTTTTATAGAAAATATTTGTTTTTTTATTTGTCATGGGTTCACCTTTTATAATGGGACACCAAAAATTTCATCCAAAAATGTTTTGTAGAAAAAATTGAAAAATAAAACAATATTTGGCGTGACATTGTGGTATGAACAATCGTAGCCGTTCTATTCTGATCGAACAACTAAGAAGTGAGGTTACATATAACTTATAAATTGTTGTGGTCGTATAGAAACATTTCCTTTTTTTAATGGAGCTGATATAAATCCGCATTTTATCTTTTTTCGAAAAAATCTTTATAAAAAACTTCTTTCCCTGTAACTTTATTTCTTCAATAACTTGGTGTTATTGAAATTGGTTTAAAAATAAGTAGATTAATAGTGAGAGTAAATTAAGAATCTTGATTTAACAAAAAATTCCATCAAAAATTTCATCAATAAGTTCTCTTAGAAAAAGTGTCGAAAAATACAAATCATATATTCCTCAAAAGAAGTAATCAAAACAATCGTTTATCTCAAAATAATGGTAGAATTAGAAGAAGAGTAACCAAATGAAAAAGACTTTTTTTTCTTTAAACCCGTGGCATCGTTAGAAGTGCAAGAGAGATTCAATGATATTGAAGATTTAGGTTGCTAGGAATTCAATGCGAAATTCAAATTTGTCTAAAACCTATGCTGATTTTTTATGAACAGAGAAGTTTGATTAATTTCATTTTTTATTTTTTATTTTTTATTTCATTGGTGTTTATAACATAGCATTTTGGATGGACCATTATTTTACATGTTCGGTTCTTTACGTTTTCTTTTAATTAAAAATAATCGTATATTGAGGGCATTTTTGTTTTTTTTCTTGGAAAAATAATCGGTTCACAGTTCTAATTAGTTCGTGTGTTTAGTATTGTTGTCATTTCACTTTATGCTCCCAATAAATCTACTATATATTTTGGGATATGACAAAAGAATAAGCGTTGTTGCTAGATTTATTGAAAGTTTTAATAAAAAATTGTCAAACTTTACTCTAATGAAACTAATAAGGCTGTAAAATTATTGTTTAATGGCTTTAATATACCTATACAAATCATAATCCTATATTGTGTCATCGTTACATATGTGATTTTTTCACTATGTTTGTTTGAATCAAATCCGAAATATTCACAATTCTATGACTTACCTTATTTTTTGGCTATCCATATTTTTTACCCTTTTTTTTCCTGATTTTTTGAAATAAAGTCGATTTATTACGGATGTTTAAGTCTGCTGATATTTTATTATTCTCCAACTTGCTAACTATGATTGAGAATGAGAAATAAATAGGGGTAGAATTACGAACGACGAAGGGCATTTCGGAATTTGACATCATGGCGCATGTCGTACTTTGACCTCCCATGATGCCCAAAGGCCAATGACCTTAGTTGTTCCTCTTTACAAATGAGGAAGACGGTGGTCAGTTTTACTACTAAAGAACTACTAAGGGTATATTTATTAGGGCAAATTATTTGGCACCCAAATGCTTTATATTAATCAAAAGATAAAAATACCCCTTATTGTTTCTTGTTATTAGTATTTTAGAGCTTGTTCTTTATTTGTAATGAAAACCAAAAGACATTTTTGCCTGGAGCCTCATGGAAGTTTAAATTATTTAAATATCTTTTATTGTTCCCATACAGTACAAGGGCAATTTAAAAACTTTTAATTTTATATTGAGAAGGTGTCTAAGTGAAATGAGAAAGAAAAATAATCCTCAATTGTTAGTAGTGATAATTTGAACCTTTCAATAATCGGGTTGAAACCCCTGAAATGATATTTCCACTTCATTATTTATTGGAAAAATTTAGTGTACATTCACAATTGAGCCCAAGATATACTATTTTCTATAGTAAAAATCTATTTTAACATTTTCACCGTCGTGGGGGTTAAGATATCAACATGGGAAATTTTGGATCGCAAGAAAGAGTACCGCAACTCAATAGGTGCATCGGCTCAAACAGCAAAAGCCTGCTTTTTTATTGGAAATGTTTACTATTAGAATAATCACTTTAATTATTCATGAGTTAGGATATAAGACATTGTTTAAGTCACTCCAAACACTTTTCTGATTTTCGTGCACAATTTTGCTGCATAAAAGATGGTCTTGACCTGCTAATATACAAAGAGTTAAAATAAATTTAAGATAAACTAAATTTACAATAGACTATTTTTCATGTTGAGAATTCATTTTTTCATAAATTCATGATTTCATGCATAACGCCTACAACCCAAAGTCACATACCCAAAATAAAACAACTTTTCAAAGAATCAAAATAATCATATATTCAGTGGATTTAATATCCATTGAAAATGTCCCAACCCATCTGTACCAAATGACCCAATATCATGAGTGTTGCAAGAGGCAAGCTTAAGAGAAGTAATGCCACTACACCAATGGCAACACCAGGCCTTGTCTTCATCAACAAACCCTGTAACAACCCAAGCCCTTGGCAAATATCAGAGTCATAAGAAACATAATATTGCTTCTCCCACTCCATCCCACTTTCCGGCGCCCTGTAATTTTGTTCCGCCATCTCCAATTCATGGATCCGCTTCCTCAGCACTATCATGTTCGCATCCACCAGACGGCCCCTGAATTTGGGATACTCTTCGTCTTGCCGAGTCGCAAAGACCCTAAATTTTGATTTTTCTCGACGGCGAGACCTGATTTTTGGACAATTTGCACCAATTTTCCGGGAATTGAGTTCATTTTTCAGGTAAAGAGGTAGGGTTTGGGGCAATGAGGCGGCATAAGAGCAAGAGGCTTCCATTTTTGAAACTGGATTTTATGTTTTGGGTTTTTTGAAATGGGAGTTATTTATAGGCATGCGAGAGGGGTACGTTCCCTGAAGGTGAGTGAACCGTAGCGTAGAAGATTACCGCTCTGGAACCGTGTTTTTGGACGGACGGTATTGGCCACTTGGCATGTTGACTAACTGACACGTGTCCCTAATGGAGTGTTGCGATTTCGACACTTGGCAAGTACTTGTGAAACCTGGTGGAAGATTCGCTCTCGGATGTTCGCCTCCTCCGCGTTAAGGACGAGGAATGACGGTCGCCGCCACCACGACGGCAGGGGACTTTTTCTCAGCTCGATGGCGTATCTCTGAATAGGGGTGGCAATGGCCCGGGTAGGCCCTACCTTAAAAATTAGGCTGTGGGCAAATAGTCCAAGGTCCGGGCTCAGGCCCGATTAGCCCGGTCTTCCCTGGCTTCATCCTATTTTTTAGTTTTTTTTTAAATTTTTTATGTGATGGGTGGGCGAGGTGGAGATATACAAGTGGAATTTTATGTGATCGTCGCAAAAAATATATAGATGAATAGCCAGACAAGAAATGATAAAATTCGAAATAAATTTATACGAGAGAACTTAGACATGATACCAATAGACGATAAAATGAGATAGAGTAGACTTAAGTAGGCAAGCCATGTGTGGTGTCGGCCAAGTACAACACATGTTTGGAGGTTTGAGTTAGTTCAAATGGAAGGACTGAAAAAGATAAGAAGTAGGCCTAATAAAGACGTGGTTGGAAGTAATTCGAAAAAATACGGAGACTTATGGCCTCACTACAACTTTTAATAAAGTAGAATGGAGAACTAATATTTATGTAGTCGGCCTTAATTAATTAGAAAATAACTAAAATCATCGTAATGAAGTGATTCTATTTGGGCACACCCGGCTAACTTGAATAGGGCTAGGGTTGGCAACGGCGGACTCGCCAGTTTCCTCCCCTATATCTGAGGAGTAAACAACGTGGGTGAACCTTGACCCAAAAGAAAGAAGTTTATAGGCAAGAGCGTCTCAAAAATCTAAAAGAAAAAAAGGTTCTCTTTCAAAAGTTCTTTGATTGGTCATCACTTGCATAAAAGACACTGGTCTTTGTAACGTATTATTTCGACGGTTGCATGTAATATATCTCATCTATTTTCAAATTTTAAAGGAAATATGGATAAAACAATTTTTTTTTTGTATAAAGAGATCATAGTAGTTTTTGGTTATTACATTTAGAATTTAAATCGCAAGCTTGAAAGTGTGTGATTGATTAAGCTCAAAGTTCAAAATTTTATTTTTTAGGTATTATCTATGAAGAGACCATTTATCATTTGTATAAGACGGTTATAATTATTCTTGTCCCTTATATTTCAAAATAGGTGGCCATAAGAGTGTCATTGATTAGACACAAAGTTTTAAAAAAAATTTTGAATTTCGTGACTCACCTCAAGCCATCCAATTTGACATCTAATTAGTAGAAATAATTGTGATCACCTTGTGCAAAAGGTAAAAGGTGTGGTTTCTATAAGGTTGCAACCTTAAACAATCCAATTAAAGCACACCACAAAATTTTACCTTAATAGTAATTTAGGTGTAAAAAATTATTATGATTATCTGAAAATCTAATTTCATATATAATTATAAAACTTTAAACTCCAAAAATAGTTAAAATCAAGTATATCTATAAACATATGAAAATCATGAAAATGGACGGTGTATAATGTGTTGTAAGATGCACTATTTTTGTGACTCAATATATATA